GGGATGTGGTGTTTGCAGGAAGGGGGTGAGAAGGGGTGTGGGGGAAGGTGGGTGGTTGTGTGCGTGTGTGTGGAGGGATATGCGTTGGTCTGTGGGTAGGTGTGGGGCAATTGCTGGGGGGACTGTGGGTGTGGGGGACCTTGTGGGGAGGGCTGCTCAGAAGGGGTGGGTCCCTTGGCCCCCACAGGGTGCAGCACCCCCCAGCACATAGAATGCCCCCCTGCCCGCCCAGGGTCCCAGCTCCCTCCTGGAGGGCCACAGCCCACCGACCCAGGGCCTGTAACCTACCTTTCACAGCAGCAGTGGGGCGACCATGCGCCGAGCCCAGCCGGGTCCTGCCGGCCCTGGGGCTGCTCGTGCTGCTCAGCTCCTGCCGGCTCACGCCTCTGCCCCGCTCTGCACCATGTGGCTCTCTAGTCCAGCTTTGCACCAGAGTGGGTCACATGGGTCCGGGAGGCACGGCTCCTGTATGCGCCTCCTGGAGCCGTGCAACCTGCTCCGGTGCAAAGCCAGACTAGCAAGCCGCAGGGATCTGGGCCAGGTCCTCACCCCCCACAGCCCCGGGGACATCCCTCCCCCCCCATATTCCCCTGCCAACCCTCCCACACCCACACCCGAAACCAGAGCGTCTCTTTTGGAGGACCGACTCCCTGCTGGCTCTGGACATTGAGACCATTAAAAAGAAAAGACAATCTTCAACACCTCTGGAGTGAAGAACAATGAGCTACCTGAATAGTAACGCAACAGGTGATGCATTGTGGAGCAGGAATCAGAGCAGGATGCTACTATCCTGTTCAGAAAATCAGTGCCCCTGCTTAATACAGGCACTCCAATTCGGGGTAGAAGGTGTGTATTGTATACAGGAAAATATGGTATTAAAATACATTAACTGCATTCAGAGTGACAGGGCATTCAGATGCTACATTAATGGAAGCCATAAATATCTCAGAAGAAAAGAAAGTCTGAGGAGCAGTGTAAATCACAAATCTGCCTCAGCTTACCTACCTGTAAATTGGTTATCATCATATATTGCTGCTTCAGAGAGGAGATTTTAGGTTTAATTATTATTTGTAAAGTACTATGAAATTCTGAGCTGGACAATTGATTTTCTTTTGCAAGTCATTAGTAATATGCTAGCTTTGCAATTTCATTATAATTGACAAATTCAATGAGGAATTAAAAAAAATAGCTTTCTGGGAGAAAGTGTTCCAGAGGAAGCAGTGATAGCCAAAGGGGAAATCTCTTTACCTGTGTGGCAACATGCATTATAATTAAATTTAAAAAAAAGAAGAGATCCTTTGGGCAGTGTAAACAGAAAGCTGTACTCTGGTGAAGACTGTAACTTTCCACTGCAGAGACCTTACAAGAATGTCTTGGAGTTTTCCATCAGAGAACTAAGTGCTTTAGGCCCTCTCTCCTGGCTGGCAGGTTTTGGTTGGCACCGTAAGAGGCAGGCATCCTCCAAAGATTTTAAGAGAGATGGTTGCAGTAGCACCCCTAGGAACAGGGAACCTCAAGTGCTCTGTAAAAGGGGCACAACTGGCCCTCAGAACTGGAGGGAGCTAAAGGACATTATTAATGTGATTTTTTTTTGCAAAAATCTGGTTGGTCTATTAAAAGGTATCACCTCTACTGTGAGTCCTGATTATTAATGTGAATGCAGCCAGTAACATTGAACCATCAGAGTGAAGTGATGACACAAACAAAGCGAGAGATGAAATCATAGCTACAACCAGCAGACTGGACAAAAATGAAAGGTAGCGCGTGTCCTTTGTTCCCGTATTAGGATGGTTGTGGCTTACAGTCCGGTAGTAGTTTTATGATTCATGCGAACACTTTTTAGCACACATGCATTACAACACATTTTGTAATAGTAATAAAGCCTCAGTAATTAGAGACTTCTCTGCTCTTCGATATTTACAGAGATGATGGATGAGGCTATGAGGTGGTAGGTTGGGAAATCCGTGGCGAGGGAGTCACACAGATAAGGTAGCATTAGGAAGATGCTAATATAGCAACTATTCACATAAAAAGCAGCCTCACTTTGTGGCCCTTAAACTCTGATTCCCTGCTCATTTGAGGATATTTTCCTCCTTTCCCACAAGTCTGTTCGTTAAATTGGGCACCTAGAAATCAAGAGACCTGGGCCTGTTCTTGGCTCTGCCCAAGTTGCTGTATGAACCTGGACACATCACTTAATCTTCCTGTGCCTCAGTTTCCCCTTCTGTGAAATACATATACTAATACCAGCTGTTGCTGAGCCAGAGGTTTGGCTGCAAGATGCTTCATGTGAATGAAGTTTTGTTGCTAATCTGTTATTTAATAGAAAGTGCCTCACTATTGGGCACCAGTAGCTCCCCCAAATACCCCTCTAATGGGAATTGTTCAGAGTAGCCTTTCTTGTATATTTAAGTTACATTCTGTAAAATTCACATAAACTTGTAGAGAAGAGGTCTGGTGGAGCAGAAGATGTTATATGCATCAGCGTGGGATTTCTGTTTTTTCAAAAGGAAGCATTTTTCATCAGTATTCTGTGGACAGCATTGGAAATAAAACAGTGTCCCCTACCGTTCAGAGCGCATCATTATGTTTTCACGTCAAGGTTTTAATTAAAGCATATTTAAAAAATAAAGCACACAATGACAGATTATAACCTCCAATGTTTATACAGTTATTTGGGGTTTTAAAAACACACAACTGGTTTTTATAGGACTTCTCTGGAAAGAGGAAAGCCAAGTCTTCTTTCCCTCTCCCCCCTCTTATGAAAAGAAGCAGTCTAATGAGACACTATTTTTACAAGACATTAAATACTTGCCATATTGTTGGGTTAATGAGGGGCTATGCATGTTTTGACAGCTTTTTTTGCTGTAAGATGATTGGCAGCATGCTCTGTTTTCCAATACAGAAAAATATAGCAGGGAAGAGACAGGTGTTCATATACTTGCTCCGTTGAAAACCCAGCTTAAGATCATTCTTTTTGATTCGTGACCAGAGGAAAGCAAAGACGACAGAAAGATGTAAAACAGCAGAGGTGCTACAGTCGCTCCGTTCTGTTAAAAGTTAGCTGAAGCAAACCATTCAAATCTCTTTGAATAAGCCCTCGCCATGTCAGCCTGTGTTTTTGCCTCTCTCATCACAGGTTTATTTTACCAGACATTTCAGGGGAAACAAGAAGGCATAGAATAGAAGTACACAATCTGAGGTGAAACCAGCAGAAATCAAAAGAAAGAAGAAAGTACTAATTTCAGAAATGTAACCACCCAGAGAAACAACGGTCCTATGGAGAAACCTGCATTTGTTCAATGTAATAAAGATACAGCTACAGTTTCACCATCATTCTGCCTGCCAAAATTTCTCACACTGACCCGAAGGGAACAGTCCAGTATCTTATGGAGAAATACTTTTGACCTGCGCATGCCACCCCCATCACCGGAGCATCCAAGTGAAACACAGATGCATAGGCCCAACTCCAATGTCCATCAAGGCTCGCTTCACACCAGTGCCAGGTGGTTTTAAATTGGATTAACATGCTATTTCATCCAATTTTGAGTCCCTCTACCTTGCCAGAGCAATCTACAGGGACTTGTGTACAGTGGAGAATTAGGCCCTAAAGAAAGTACTCTCCTAACATACCTATGAATCAAAAAGTGTTTAATTTTACCATTTTAGACTGGGCAACTGAGGTACAGGGATTTTTCATAGGTGGGAACCTGTGAACATTTATGCTTAGCTTTATGTACTCAAGGAATGTTTTTTGGGAGCAGTAGGGTCTGTGGGATCTGGACCTTATTGCCACGAAAAAATAAAATAAAATAAACCCAGCTCCTAGTATGAGGAGGAAGGGCTTCTGGGCACTACTTGCACATAAATATTCAGCTGGACTGAGAAATCTGATTTGTTTTCTGGGTAATTACTTGCACTTCTCTAATATTTTCAGTCAAGTGCATTTTTCCATGAAGATAAATATAAGGTCAGATGATCCAGGTCATCAGTATACCTGCTAACCAATAAGAGACCTCCTAGCAGGGGTTAATAACCATTCTGCAGTAGAAATCCTCCAGAAAATAATGTTAAAGCATCCTTCAAGTAACCTTGATCCAGCCACTAACTAAAGTAGTGGGGCTTTTAATGAGCACTTACCTGAAGGGAGTCCAGATGGGATGAATTAAATACCACAGCACAAGGCTGCGGTCTTCTCTGGCTGCCTGAACATGTATTTACTGATGGGATATTAGGAGACACAGCTGGACAGACATACTGCTCCCTTCTCTGGTGGGCAGTCTCATGTCAGAATGAGCTACAGACCAGCACGACTAATAAAGACTTCAGCACGGAGGAAAAGCAGTAATAGGGAGGGACCTTCCTAGCAGGTGAAATCACTCTAGTGCTATTAGAAAGACTACTTTCTCCAGAAAGGTATCAGCACGGTCTTTAAAAAACAGGACTGAGGTTACCTTGCTCCTGCCACAGGGCAAAGTAACAGAGTCTTGTATCTTAAAAAGGGTTGGAAAGGCAACTTGTCTTGTCTTGGAGGTCCTGGCTTGGATCCATTTTGAAATGCTCCCATTGTGTAGGGTCTGACTGCTGGTAAGTGGATTTCCCCCTTCTTTAGAGTGAATTGTATGTGGAGCAGGATGAAGTTTTGGAGTCTTTCTGTAAAATAAGGACCCTGCTAAACAGGATGCTTAGCCTCAGCTTTCAGTGAGTTGAGCTTGGGTAATTGCTTTCAAGAAAGCGCAGTAAAGTGTGCTGGGGGGTGGTGGGAAGGAGGACTGGCTTCTAATTCATATGTGATTGTGTGAAATATCAATCTGGTTTTGGGAATTTGGATCTTATGAAGGCTAGCTGCTAATAGTTATCTAATACAAAGGTAGTGATTCTGAGACAAGGTGAGCATGCAATCATGATCTGGGTGGTGTTTAAGTCTGGGACAACTGGAAACAAGCAAAGAAAAACATTTGATGCATCCCCTCCTAGGTAAATAACTCCTTCCCCCAACAAATAAGAATATAGCAAGACTTAATCTGCACCATTTTCCCCTCTCCCCTACTGATAAACTTGTTCTGCTGTGCATTAGGTAAGTACCTGGTGAGTCCTACTGAGTTTCTCCTGCATAACAATGCTTGTTAGTTTGACATGAATGATTGTCTTGCTCTGTTTGGACTAAAATAACCCTAGTGTTGCAGAACTGCCCTGTACAAGTCACTGCAGCTCTCCCAAGAGAAGTCTGGGAAATGGGTTAAAGCAGCCCCAGGCACTTGACTTCACTAAGCAGCACTTGTTCTCTAAACCCCTCTGCCTATTGCTGGCTCCAGCTGTTCTGCACAGGTTACACACGTTGTGGTGATGTTCTTGAACGGTTGCTTTGGTATCTTGCTTGCCAGATTGAATATATGTTCTTTAGTATTCTGTAAAAATAAAATGTTAAGCACAAACACCCTATTTAAAACAGAGATTGGGGATCTCTCTTGCTCTCCATCTGTCTCTCTCTCTATGGCTATGGAAGGAAGTGCTAGTTGTCCTGCTAATATTGGGTGTACCCAGTCTCCTCTCACTGGTTGAGACTATCCTTCATCTTAAATATCAGTGAGTATTTAGCACCCACAAAATTCTGGATTCACAATGGAGACTGAGCCCATTCACTCCTTAGCCATGCATCTTCAGCAATGCTAGAGTCAGCTCTTCCATGTGGGAGCAGTGTTTTTTTTTTTGCACCCCTCGCTCTGGAAGATTTACTAGTCTAGATATGTCTCCAGATCCTTTTTCTCATTGGCATCTCTGTAGAGGTGATGCCAATTGTAATGGGTGGCACACGAGGTGCTGTGTGGGTATAAAGGTGTCATACAGTCCACAAGGGTTAAAGAAAGAAACATGTTCTACAGCAAGGTAATAAAGCTGGGGTATTATGGGGTGATTGCCTTTCCCTCTCCCTCCCCCTGCCACCTTCTTTCATTTCAATCTTTCTCTCCTCTAGGACCAGAAAAACAGGACATTTCTAGTCTCACTGCCAACGACACAAGAAAATCATTGCGGGGAAGTAAGTGTGAAACTTTAGACAGTTTCTTGCAATGCTGCTGCCGTGATATTGGGGAAGAGATGCAAGCTGCCTCTTCAGATGGCCCAGGCTACAATGCTAATTAAATACCAAATTGTATAGGTATAATTGGAAGAGGAGCTAATAGTTTCTAACTGGAAGCTTTCTTCATTTTAAGTGGACATCAAGCAGAAACAGGGGTGCTTGGTCTTCGCTATTTTGCAGCCTTCTGGCATGTTGAAATAGCTGCCTTTTAGTTTAGAAAAACACAGAAAGACTGAATCTTAACTTATTGTTTAAAGGCCAGGGACATGACTGAGAATTAGATGAGAGCCTGAAGCTGGGGTGACTTAGCCAAACACATTGAACAGGCTTTGCCTTGTTTCCTCTGTCCTTGCAAAGCACTTAGGGTTTCCTGTAACTTGACAGGAGGAGGGAGAAACTGCTGTTTTCTTCCCCATGGACACCAGCGGGGACTCTGCAAAAGGGCAGGGGAAAGCAGCAGGGCTTAGAAAAGCTGGATCTCTGGTTTGGCTGCCATTCAGGAACATACTTGGCTTTGTCGAGGCCAGGAGCTTTCCAGAACTGGCGGCAGGGATGCAGAAATGCAGGCTGGCAGTTCAATCGGGTGCTGCCTGACATCCAGCGCTCGGCTCACTCCCCTCCGGGCTCCTTTTCTCTTTCAGTGCTGGAGCATGGAGGACGTCTTTCCAGCAGAGGACACTGAAGCTGAGCCAAGGAATTTGCCACTCTTCAAATCCAGCATGTGGTGTGAGGAGAGGAGATTGAGGACTTTCCAGCACTGGCCCGACAGCTCTCCCGTCTCTGCCCCTGACCTGGCCAAGGCTGGGTTCTTCTTCCTGGGCCCTGGGGACAGAGTGCAGTGCTTCTGCTGTGGAGGGATCCTAAGAAGATGGGAAGCTGGGGACGTCCCCATGCTCGAACACCTGAAGTTCTTCCCTTCCTGCAGATTTGCCTGTGGCAAAGAGGCTGGGAACGAGCAGGGGTTCTCTCTGCAGGAGCAGGAGATGCTCCCTATTCGGGACATCCTGGACTGTGTGGATGGGCAGATCTTCAGCCTCTTGCAGAGGATGGACACAGAGGAGACTGCCCTACCCAGCCATCCAGAATACCCAGAGATGAGGATGGAGGAGATGCGACTAGCCACTTTCCATAACTGGCCACCCTATAACGAGATGTACCCGGAGCAGCTGGCCCATGCAGGTTTTTTTTACACAGGTATGTAGAGGAAGGAAGACCTCCTATGTGGGGCTATCTATACTGTACCTGATCCAGATCCTAAATGCAGGATTAGGAGATCAAAACTCTCCACCAGAGGCAGAATGTGACTTATCGCCTCCCAGACATGAGACGCCAGCACGACCTGTTCAAAGGACCTTCCCAAAAGGCAGATGGGCTCTCAGAGAAATGGGAGCTGTTAACCATTTAGCACCTGAATTTGGCTTTTGAGGTTTTCCCCCTTTGCATTTAATGCCTGCAAGTGTAGCATAGTTGCAAAAACCCGAAACAGGTTACTGGATTTGTTCATATTGCTTTCATACCTGGAAGCCCCAGCTGCACAAACACCATCTGCGGCCACATCATGGTGCCAAATCTGTACCAAGCTGTGGTGGAAAGTCCCTGTCCTGAAGTGTTTGCAGCTCACACTTCAATCGGGTGTAACAAGGGGCAGGGTAAGGGTAACGGTGAGGAAGGCATTATGTAGATGATGTGCATGTGTTGTATGGTACTGAGTTCCAGTACTCTGAGACCGTGATTAAATGTCCTAGCCCCAACCAATGCATGTGCAGAAATGAGGTGGGGAGTGTTTTTTGAGGAGAGCTGACCATCCAAGGCCATTGCTTCTTCAGAAGCTGAGCTAGCTTTGTGATCATGGATAGAGAAGGCGAGTGCCCTGCAACAGCCTCCAACTCGGTGATTCAAAGGAACCTCCCGAGGTTCAACAACTAAAGTTAAAGTTTAGGAGTTTTTTCAAGACTATTCCTTAAATGGCACAAGCTAGACTTTGAAAGCAGCTCTGCACTTCAGTGCCATTCCTGTCTGTGTTTGAATGCTCCTAGATGCTTTGGGTGCATGGTGGGTTTCTTTCTTTCCACGGGGCTACAAAAAGGTACTCTTGAAGGGCAAACATTACCCTTGGGGCAGGAGGGAGGGTGAGGAGGAGACTCCTGTTTAGGTCATTGATTGCTACCTATCTTTTTCTTAATTTTTTATTTTCCTAACTGGTGCACACTGCACAGCTGCATAGTGCTGGTGGGGTCTCCTGGTCAGGCTGAGCTTTTCTGGCAGAGATCCATGCTTTGCGCACGTGCTGAATCTCTATTCATCACTCCATATACTAAAAGCTATGGATGCTTAAA